ACAGACAAGTCATCTATGTTGACCACCACCAGGTCCAGTTTGTGATCATTGTTGAAATCACCTGATATTACACACGCTGGACCGATACCAACGGTATACTTATTTTGAGTCTGGAAGGTTCCATCCCCTTTGCCAAGCAGCACACTGACGGTATTATCGTTCGTGTTGACTGCTGCCAGATCCTGTTTTTTATCATTGTTGAAATCACCTGCTATTTCATACACTGGGTTGATACCAACCGTATAGTTCTTTTGATGCTGAAAGGTTCCATCGCCTTTGCCAAGCAGCACACTGACGGTATTGTCGTCATAGTTGGCCGCTGCCAGATCTAGTATGTTATCGTTGTTGAAATCACCTGCTATTACAGACACTGGGCTGCTACCAACCGCATACATCATTTGAGTGTGAAAGGTTCCATCCCCTTTGCCAAGCAGCACACTGACGGTATTATTACGCGAGTTGGCCGCTGCCAGATCCAGTTTGCTATCATTGTTGAAATCACCTGCTATTACAGACAGTGGGCTGCTACCAACCGAATAGATCATTTGAGTGTGAAAGGTTCCATCCCCTTTGCCAAGCAGCACACTGACGGTATTATTATGCGAGTTGGCTGCTGTCAGATCCAGTTTGCTATCATTGCTGAAATCACCGGCTATTACAGACACTGGGCTGCTACCAACCGTATAGTTCATTTGAGTCTGAAAGGTTCCATCGCCTTTGCCAAGCAGCACACTGACGGTATTGTCGTCGACGTTGGCCGTTGCCAGATCCTGTTTGTTATCATTGTTGAAATCACCTGCTATTACAGACACTGGGCTGCTACCAACCGTATAGTTATTCTGAGTCTGAAAGCTGCCATCCCCGTTGCCAAGCAGCACACTGACAGTATGGTCGTCAAAATTGGCCGCTGCCATATCGAGTTTGTGGTCATTGTTGAAATCACCTGCTATTACAGATTGTGGGTGCGTACCAACGGCATAGATCCATTGAGGCATAAAGGCTCCATTACCTTCGCCAACCAGCACACTGATGGTGTTGTCGCCTGCGTTGGCCGCTGCCAGATCCAGTTTGTTATCATTGTTGAAATCACCTACTATTATAGAATATGAGAAGCTACCAATCGCATACGTCATTTGAGTCTGAAAGGTTCCATTCCCTTTGCCAAGCAGCACACTGACTTTACTGCGGACGCTGGGTACTGCCAGATCCAGTTTGTTATCATTGTTGAAATCACCTGCTATTACAGACGATGGGCTGATACCAACCGTATAGTTCATTTGAGTCTGAAAGGTTCCATCACCTTTGCCAAGCAGCACACTGACGGTATTATCGTTGGCGTTGGCTGCTGCCAGATCCAGTTTGTTATCATTGTTGAAATCACCTGCTATTACAGACGATGGGCTGCTACCAACCGTATAGTTCATTTGAGTCTGAAAGGTTCCATCACCTTTGCCAAGCAGCAAACTGACGGTATTATCGTTGGAGTTGGCTGCTGCCAGATCTAGTTTGTTATCATTGTTGAAATCACCTGCTATTACAGACACTGGGCTGCTACCAACGGTATAGTTCTTTTGAGGCTGAAAGGTTCCATCGCCATTGCCAAGCAGCATACTGAGGGTATTGTCGTTCGAGCTGGCTGCTGCCAGATCTAGTTTGTTGTCATTGTTGAAATCGCCTGATATTATAGATAATGGGCCGCTATCAACCGAATAGTTTATTTGAGTCTGAAAGGTTCCGTCCCTTTTGCCAAACAGCATAACAACGTCGTTGTCGTTTAAGCTGGCTACTGCTATATCTAGTTCTATGTTGTTCCTGAAGTAGCCCGTTGCCGCAGAAAATGAATTGTGGCCGGTTTTATAGGGGCTTGAAACTGAATAAGGATTCGTGCACACATAGCCTAAAATAAGACAGGGTTGAAATAGCAATTGCTCTGCAGAAATCAGCGGAGAATAGTAGGCCGGTACATCCATTTATCAACATCACCCAGGAGGCTCTTTTAGTTTATTTGTCTAATATAACGTCTCACAAAGCCTTCTCACTCAATTATCCCATGAGAGGATGTGGTAGGTTAGAAATTCAGAAAGGGCTTTGCGATATAACGGAAATAATGCACTTTTCAATGAAGGGTTTATTAGCCACCAATGCATGGTTATATATCTTACTTCGAACAAATTTTACACCATAGTTCTTGGTCATTGGTCGCGTTTCTGAGTCGTCAATTCGTTCAAAGTACTTTTACTAGGGAAACTATCATTTGAATACACATGAGGACAAGCTGCGTCCAAAACCAAGTCCCTGAGTTCAATTCAGAAAATATTTAATGCATTTATATGCAATATTTAATATGCATTTGTAAATGTATTTCTAAATACATTCATCGTGTAGAGCAAACACTTTTGAAGAGAATGAGGTGTCTACGAGCTCTTTGCGACATTTTTTCATGACGCAGCATTCAATTTACAGAAGGCCCTTAGCGCCAATCTTCTTGTTTCCGCATTAGTTTTACTAGTATGCGACCTTCCATAAATTGAATGCTGCTTTATTCCATTGACTGTAAGTCTATGGTCATACGAAAAAAAGTTGGTCATTCGAAAAAGTAGAAAGTGTTTGTGTGTGTGTTTGTTTGTCCGTACAGAGGTGTGACGGACGTACATACATATAGTGACTAGTGAGTGTGACAGACGTACATAGATATAGTGACCAGTGAGTGTGACGGACGTACATACATTTAGTCATGTGGCAGTGTGACGGATGTACATACATTTAGTCATGTGGCAGTGTGACGGACGTACATATACAGAATCACTAATGAGTGTCATTGACATTGGTGCACAGAGGTGCTTGCGTTCGAGCTTTATGTAGAATCAGGGAAGTGTAACACCTATCCTGGCTGCGAGCGCGGACCGAAGGGACGCGTGAGCATTTTCTGTAATTTAGAAACTCTTTTGACCCCTGGGGTTCTTTGGATACTCTCGAGAAACCCAGTTTTGATTGAAGATACTTTACGAAGTTGACACATCATGTCACAGAAATAATCATAACGCATGGTAGATAGTCTCTAGCGAACACCGACCGAAGGGAGGTGTAAGCGTTGTTCTGACTAAGAAGGCCAAACTTTGCCCCCACTTAGGTTTCTTTATCAAGGGTAAGAAGACCGATAGATCTGGTAATATTACGTCGATTTCGAACATCTGTGCGACAAGTAAAAGTAAATCAAATTACAGAGTCTCGATGAACTATAGCAATTCTGATAATGTTTCTCACCGGTGAAAAGCTAAAGCAAGTGGTTCTGTAAACTAACATGGAAAATTTGCACGTTCTCATCGCGAAACATATATGCCTCAATTCTGTAGTAGCAAGATCGAGTTACAACACAATGAATATTAATTCCAAGAATACACTCAGTGCACTTACAGGCAATGGACCTAGTGAATCGATACGATTCACGTTATTTATGAGAAAGTGTCGTAAAGAGCTCGAAGACGTCTCATTCTCTTCAAAAATGTTTCGTCCACATGATGAATTTATTTACAAATATTTTTTGAATTGAACTCAGGGACCTGGTTTTCTGCGACTTGGTTTTCCAGATACCTGGTTTTAAGAGTTAGTGAGCCGATTTCAAGTCTTTTGCGTACTTCACACCACAAACATTCTTTAAAACATTCCAGTTTTCACCGGTCGAATCGGTTTGATTTTCAAACTCTTTACTCAAGGGCGCATCCAGGATCTTAGAATGGTGCACTCGGACCGATTCATTTCGACGATTCAAGGGCAAAATTTGAAATAAATGTCAGTCTATCTCAGAAAACCTAGATTATATTGAGAACGTTTAGAAGTAAATCTTGACCGAATATTAAGTCTGAGATAGACTGAAATTTATTTCAAATTCTGCCGTTGAACCGTTTAAATGAATCGGTCCGTATGTACCATTCTAAGATCCTGGATCCGTCCTTGAGTAAAGAGTTTGAAAAGCAAACCCATCCGACCGGTAAAAACTGGAATGTTTTGAAGAATCTTTGTGAGAATGTAAAGTAATATGTACTCGCACTGCCTCACACTTTTTCAAGCAGGTATTTTAGCGCAGTTTTTCATGGACGACAGTAAAAGTATCAATTTTCCGCAAAAGATGGATCATATTTGGAGAGACTATCATGCTTTCAAATTTCCTGTCTAGAATATTTGATGAAAAAAACTTTCTTCCACACCTGTCAACCAAAAAGCACTCTCAAAATTCGAAAAATTTCATGACGTTTTATGGATGAGAAAAGCTCGTGACTATCGATCCTGCTAATTTTCTCAACAACGTCAATAAGATCAGTTCCAGATCTACTACTACTTTCTTCAGAAACTTCTCTCTCAACAGTGTACAATATTGAGCTCATTATCATTGAAAAAGTTTTCCGCATTTGTCATATTGGAGCATGCAGTTACACAAAGCTCTGTATGACAGAGCAGTATTCTATTCCTGCTAGATCGCAATCGCCATAGTGTGTATTACTAAGAACAAACACTGGAATTCTACAAAATGCCGAATCGAAATGTCCGTCGCTGCCGTCGCTAAAGAAGTTGGGTAACATGTCTACATAAATGAACAGCTGTATATTTTCAATTCAAAGGTGGAGTCCGCATAAGATTTGAAATCGGCTCACTAACTCTTAAAAAAAGGGCACCTGAAAAACCCAAATCGCAGAAAACCAAGACCTGAGTTCAGTTCAGAAAATATTTGTAAATACATTCATCGTGTAGAACAAACATTTTCGAAGAAAGTGAGACGTCTTCAGGCTCTTTACGACACCTTCTCATGAAGCACCATTCAATTTCTGGAAGGTCGCATACTAGCAAAACCAACGGGAAATCAAGAAGATAAGTGCTAATGGCCTTCCACAAATAGAATGTTACTTCATGAAAAAATGTCGCAAAGAGCTCGAAGACGTCTCACTTTCTTCGAAAATGTTTGCTCTACACGATGAATGTATTTACAAATATTTTCTGCATTGAACTCAGTGCTTGGTTCCTTGTGATTTTGGTTTTCCAGATACTCTGGTTGACGAGAAATCGCAAAATTTAGTTCATCGCAGAATATGTGCTAACGTTACTTAGACAAATAGAAGTTTGGCTGCCTCAGACGTTACACTGAAATCCATGAATGGAGAAATTTACTGAATGTTGGGTTTTCATTAGTGCTGATGTTTGCACGGAAGTAGCTTTAGAATACTGAAATGTGCAATGTTTTTGCGCCCTGTACCCAAAAACCAAACCTGCAGATCTTGATCCCAAAACAGAACCGACAATGACTGCCGTGATGACCACAATCGCCAGTAAGCTGATTGGAATGATGAATCTCTTCTTTTGATACCAGTGACGTCTTGTAAATGTGATGGAAAGTATCGCCAAAAATAGAGATAGATGAAGACGAAGTTAGACTTACTTGATTTTTGGATAAAGATATGCACCTAAGCACGGAAATACTTGAGTTTAAAACAAACGATTAAAGTGTTCAGAATACCTTCGAATGGAGGCTCTAGTAGCATTTCTTCCGGTATTATCTGTTTCAAATGGATGATGTGGAGATCGGGCGCCGGAGTGAATTGCGATTGAACCACCATGTGAGTACCAGGCAGAAGAAGAATTTCATCTTCGGTAACAAAATGCGAATGTGCTTGTATTGTTCGACCGTTAATGGCTTCGACGGAGAAGAGCGTCCGCTCACCTGTATTGCCTAAATATATGTTGTTCTCGAGCACGGTCAGTGCAGTTGTGCATGATGAAAATGCCCACCATGTCATCAGGGTGCCGGGTGGAAAATCTGCGCTCAAATCTTTGGTTACCCCTCGCCAGATCGTCAGCTGTGGGACGCATGGTAATTTGGCCAGGGCAGTCAAGAACAGTTTCAGATACTTGAAATAGGGTCGAAGATCCTCACGATCCGCCGTCTTGAGGGTGTAATTGAGTATCGAATAGAGACTTCGGTGCGGTCCTTCCCATTCGATCGTGTAGAGCCGAATTGCAGCACTCTCGTCGATCGTCAGTCCGTCAGGTGGCTCTTCTGGGGTTTTGTCGAGTGCCATTTGAACGTAGACCGATAAATCGGGGATGATGTTGGTCAGCGGAGCACATGCTTTCGAAAGTGGCAATAAACGCTCTTCAGCGTATCCTACAATAGGACCAAGGTTCATTTTGATATTGTTGATGATGTTCGTAGTTGTCGGATTTTGTTTTCCAGTAACATCTTCTACCACTCGACGATTTCGATTGATGGAGTCATCAAGTGTATTATCATCTGCCGCCGCTGCTACTATCACTTGCCTCTTATCAACTGTTTCTTCTGCTACATTCAAGTTTAGATGCAGCCTGTCAAACTTGCGTGGGGAATCAGTCTGGATAGCGACGTCTTTGCTGGCTACTTGTAGTCGATCAGTTGTCTCTCCGTCATCAAGGGTAATTGCTGTTCGCTCGTGCCGAACGTCGTCATCTGTCACTACCACTCGTATTTTCTTTTTATGATCTTTTACTTTCTTTTGCTTTGCCGATGACCATCGATGCTTAAAAATCAAAGAACAATTATTTTTCAGTGGCAACAACGATCAATCGTTATTGGTACCTAAGAATCATTGAGAAATCATCGAAAGGGCAAGGGTGAATTCCAGTGTGTCATTCCTACAAATCATCCTGGTGAGTTTCAAAACTTTACCCTCATCTCTTACTATCATTCTCTCCTGATCGCCTTCTATATTCTTCTGTCAGAACTCAACAACAACATGTGTGCGTTTCAACCATGAGATTTAATTTCATAAAACTTTAATAAACGATCAAGTCTTAAGTACACACCTGCTCATTTCCAGGCTTGCGCTGATTGACCTGACCATCAAGTGGGATAACGTTGTTACCATCTTCTTGGTCTTCGATTTCAAAACTCTCGATGTTCGCATGCGCTTTGCGATCAACATGCGTCTGCTTGCTCAATGACTTATCAACCGACATGTTCTTTCAATGTGTGCACACGCATGTGTGTTTCCATTATGTCGCTACACACGCGCTTTTTGTGCTATGCTTCAGTGCTCTAACGTACGACTGAGTTTATATAAATTTTTTTCTAAAAGCATCTCGTTATCATTCATCTATTGTTCTTTTCTAAGGTAAGTCGTTGCTTTGATTTGATTTTTTACAATATGAGTAAGAGAATGGGTAAGAAAGCAAAAATATATAGCGACTCGAGCAGGAATTGAATCCACGCCATAAGAATTCTCTATTCTCTTACTTTCTGCTCTCTCCACTGAGCTATCGAGTCTACACTTTTCTGTCTTCCTTTTTCTCACTATATTTGAGATGATAAGGAAAAAATTAATTTTCATTATTGACGTTCTGAAGGATCGCTCAGAAACATATACAAAAAATTACCTATCTCCACAGAACTTCGTGTTTTTTCCTGAAGAAACCGGAGTTTCTCCACGAGACCTTCATGTTTTTTCCCGAAGTAATCGGTGTTTTTCCATGACAACTTCATGTATTTTCCTGAAAAAAACCGGTGTATTTCCACAAAAACTTCATGTTTTCTCCCGAAGTAATCGGTGTTTTTGCAGGAGACCTTCGGTGAACGTGAATTTGAGAACAAGAATGAGATTCGTATTTTTTCCTGAAGAAATCGGAGTTTTTCCACATGAACTTCCTGTTTTCTCCTCAAGCAATCGGTGTTTTTCCATCGGAGCTTCCTGTTTTTTCCCGAAACAACCGCTGTCTCTTCACAAAAACTTCATGTTATTTAATGAAGAAATCGTTAAATATAGATAATAAGAGATACACAACCTTTTTCATCATGAAAATCGACTATTTTCTGTTGACGTTTCGTCTTTATTCAAGAGACAAACTTTGTCTATATAGCTTAGCTATGATTCTGTTCTTCTTCCGTGACCTGGCCGGTCAGTTTCAACTTTAAAATTTAGAAATTCAGCTTCTAATACTCAGCTTTCGATGGCGAATCAGAAAAAGATAAGTTTGGAATTTTATAAAGACATTAAATATGAAAAATTTGCTTATTTTCAAAAAATGGGTATTTTTAAATTTTTCCACCAAAAAATGATCTCCTAAAATGTGGAATTATGGATGGAACTCGATGAGCTCTATCCAACCATGCCAGAATAGGAGCTTTTCTGGCATAGTTGACACAAAAACGGTTTTTTCGCGTGAATCTAGTGAATAACGCAATAATATAAGTGACGTAACGCGAAAAATGGTTACGCAATTTCTACCCAGACGCTTACTTCCTACCTGGGATGCACAAATGTAATCTTTCTGTTCGTCCCGTTATTTCTAGTTATGGTGCTTATTACAACACGGATGAATATTTGAAGTTGCAAGTAGTAGACCACTTCAAAAAACTTTCGATGGATCAGCAACTACTACAAAAGTGTTGAATTTTTACTATGTCATTTTCCTATGAAGAGAGTAACACCAGCACTACAGGAACTGACCGAGTCGACAGCTGCAGGTAAGAAGAAAAAACGATTAATCTTGTGCTTCTCTTTTCTTTTCTTGCCTCCTCTGTCAATAATTTCAAGTCATTAGAAGGCTCCATCGGGTCTCTGCAATGAGCACAACTTTTTATGATTTGATAGTCACAAATGGTACCCAATTTCAATACATTTATTGAAATCACGTGATGAAACGAGTACTGCGTCTAAGCCCAGACCACAGTTTCTACCACTGACTGCAGTTGCAAACATAGTAACCGATTCAGCGTTTTTCTTGACAGTACGTCGCATCTAATTATCAGACGAAACCGTCGGTTCATATTCAATAATCAGAGGAAGGAATCATCGATAAGTTTTTCAATCCACCATTTACGTATACCCGAGCACGGGATAGAGAAAACCAGAATGACCCTAATCTAGCAGAAAATGATAAAGATACTTATGTACGGCCAACAGAGCTTAATGTACCTTCTCTTCAGCTTTTCTGGTATCATTAGTATTTCTAGATAAACAGGTACTGCATTAACTATCCATGTATTCTATTATTCTAAGCGGAGTCAGTTTCCGCTAAAATTTGAATGAAAAACAGTCTAGTGAGCATGTCTTGTGACGCCAGGATCTCAGATACAGTCGTACAATAAACTAACGGTTCATAATGAGAGGAGAAGAATTTTCCGCCTACATAATAAAACATATTGGAATTCGTACAGGTCGACTAAGCAACGTTCCAGATACTGCTTCAAGCGACTGCAAATTTCATGTTGTTTATCATATTAAACGTTTGTGGTTGTATTAAAGTTAATATTACTACTAAAAATCTTACGTTCCGAAGTCTTTTCTACGTCTTTAGTTCGTCAAAACTGAATATTTTGTTTTTAACTGAAGTTCTGTACGTCATATGTTAGAACAATTACTTCTGGAAGAAGTAGAAGACGAACAAATAATAACGTGTAGTTCTGTCTTTTTCTCTTTCATCGATTATATGTCTATGCACCATGATTGATGCTATATTTGTGATTATGTTCTGGTCTTCCACCCTAGTAATTTCTTTAGAGACAACTGTTTCAGCAGAATATACAAGTGTTAACTTTCATACTTATTGTTCGAGGACAGGAGAATTATCGCTTGAATGAGAATTGGATAAGGAACGTTTATTTTCTTCTATAAGTCTATATTCATTTTTGTACAAACTATATTTCTTGTCTTCTCATGCATAAGAAATAGAAAAATATGAATAATTTGTTATATTTTTCAAAATAAGTTGATCGATTGTAATAGAGAATCATTAAATGTTGTATAGGTTGCACAAGCGACTCATAGTGTTAAATATTTCAATTATGATTTTATGTTAATTCAGTTTACTTTTAAATTTTAACGAAACTCTGAACATTTGTAGTTTAAAATTTCTGAACTATCGCATTCGGACGGTTGATAAAGTGAGGTAACGTGGTGATAACTATGGTAGTTTTTTACGTCGTAGAAGAAACACTTTGCAGATTTATAGCTTCTAAGATGACATCTGTTGGTGTATCTCAACAACAGTGGAGAGGTAAGCATTTATAGTTATTTTCTTTCCGGTATTCAAAATTTGATTATTTTTGACATGTCATACAAAAACTTTGTGGTTGCTGTGATGATTGTGGTATCTGTTGTTATGGTTACTGATGCCATGCGTGTCAATATGGTGAAATTGCTGAAAAAATTGATGGTTCAGATTGTTTTGGTCAATGTTGCATTTATTCTTTACTCAATTATGCTGGTTCGGTGCCAGCGGCGTAACCAGGATTTTTAGTACAATGGGCAAACTTCTATTGTATCGGAAAAAAACGATGGGCAAAATGGGCAAGGTTTTTGTTGAAAAAGAACACATAAAAATGAAATGAGATTCTTTCAATTTTTGAATTAGATTCTAATTCAAAAATAAACAAACAATTCTGTCTATAGCCCCTCTTACATATATCTGTCTAAGGGTTATACAAAAAAAAAACGCATGGGTATACCTGCTAAGTGAAATTTCAAT